GTGAATCTCGATGTGCAGATTTCGTGGCAGGCGCAGCACTTTGTGAACCTCGATGTGCAGATTTCGTGGCAGGCGCAGCACTTTGTGAATCTAGATGTGCAGATTCCGTGGCCGGCGCAGCACTTTGTGAATCTCGATGTGCAGATTTCGTGGCAGGCGCAGCACTGTGTGAATCTAGATGTGCAGATTTCGTGGCAGGCGCAGCACTTGCTGAGTCTGGAAGTGCAGATTTCGTGGCAGGTGCAGCACTTTGTGAATCTCGATGTGCAGATTTCGTAGCAGGCACAGCACTTTGTGAATCTCGATGTGCAGATTTCGTGGCAGGCGCAGTACTTTGTGAACCTCGATGTGCAGATTTCGTGGCAGGCGCAGTACATTGTGAACTTCGAAATGCTCCTATGTACTCGCCTATGTGCTCTCAGATTTGTGCTTGTATGTGCTCTCACATTTGTGCTCTCAGATGTGTGCTCTCATGTGCTCTCATATGTGCTCCCATATGCTCTCATATGTGTGCTCTCATTTGTGCTCGTGAATCTCGATGTGCAGATGTTCTTGAAGGGTTTTGAATTTCAATGAACTTGCCTCCTCTCATATTTGTGCTCTCGTCTGTGTGCTCCTTCTTTCCTTCCACGTGATGCCATGTTCCATCTGTTCCTCTTTACACTATTTGGGGTCCCTTGCCGGTGTAATTGTTTATAATTCTTGTGCTTCCCACGGCAATGCTGAAGGAGTTGGACCGTTTTTGCTCGGCCTTCATGGAAGTGTGCGTGCGCTTGGAAGAGGCCGCGGCCAACACGAGGGAACCATTCGCTTTGGCGCGCGAAAGGCTGTAAACAGATAGGGAACATGAGACGGCGATTGAACTAGCACGACTTGTGATCCCGAGATTGGGCGGCTTTGGACATAAAGGATTTCGTAAACGAATTCAACCACTGAATATGGTTTTTTGTTGCGGCTTCTTGGCGCCTGAGCAGGAAAAGCGGCCAGGTCCAATAGATGTGTCAGCCACTAGAACCACAGAAAGCGAAGCTTGCTCAGGCGGGCTTTGCAAACTTTGTTGGCCTCAGGGACTTCTATGCTTTCATCAAGCTGCTGGACCGTGTTTGTTGCAGGGCCGAGCAAAATCAGCGTCAACGCAAGTTTGCCGCAAGTGGGTAGATTGTGCCAATATGAGTTAAGGGGCCTACTGGCTGGAGTTAGTTTGATATGTTTATTAATCAGTTAATGGATGTTGAAGTTCGAGGTTCCATTTTCATCTAATTACTTTGCCAATGTGAGCTGAGCAGATTTCAGACTGGCTTCAGGACCGCAGTTTGGAGGGTGTTTTGTCCCCTCAGCTCTTCATCTCTGCAGTGCAACGCTCTTTCGGAGGGCTGCCGGACCACTTGGCAGAGGCACCACGCCTGTACCAGCCACTCACTCGTGCGGTGGGATTTTGTAAAATATAGTTACATGGTCCTGGGATCGTTTTTCTATACAGTTCTAGTAGGTTCCTACCAGGAATGCATAGGGAAGTTCCGGGAAGGTGCACGACTATCCTCGCACAAGACCGAATATTATGGGAAACCCAGCCATCAACAAGATCATTAGGCTATATAGTTCTTTCGAGCCTTGACCCCGTGGACAGACCTTTGCAATCCTTTGCATGCCTTCGAGGTGCCTGTCCCAACCGCCACTTGTTCAGATGCTTTGCCCTACCATACTTTCGTATCCTTAAAT